TGACAATTCTTGCTAAGAGACTGGCAACAAGTGGGAATTGATACATAGGAACTTACACATCTGGAAATATGAATGAAGCAAGGACACAAAGTCTTAAATTTTACTCCCCACAGATTTATAAGAAAGAGTTGCCCAAATCAGGCTCCAGGTGACCTGCGATCATTTAATTTCAAACCTCAAATATTAGATCAGATCTCTAGCGGGGAAAAAACAAGTAAAGCAAAGACTGGCCATACTGAGTCAGACCAGTGGTACCTGTAGACCAATACCATATATCTGATAGTGGCCAGTATCGGATGCTTCAGAGGAAGGTGTGAGAAACTCTATAGTAAAGGTTTCTGGAATAACCTTTCTGTAGGGTAAGTTTCTTCCTAACTCCCTCTCATCCCAAAGGGGCACATTAACAATTTCTACCAACAGAGGACCCAGTGCCTCTCATTGGCCTTTACAAACCAGAAAAGACATGGGTCCATCCAGCTCACAGGTGAAGACCAGGACTTCCATCAAACTAAATAGCCCATTGAAGGCTTCTGTAGATGAGTAGAGAAAACAACACACAGAAAGAAGCCTCCTTCTCTTCCCATTCTGGGACTAACTGACAAAATGAATGTAGCAGGGTTGGCTGCCACCTAAGCACCCCCTTGTGGCCAGAAGTTACTCGGCAGTGCCCCACCCCTGTTTTCTCCTTCATAGGGTTCCTTAAACTCACAACAGTCCAAAAGAAATTAATACATTCCCTACATGGGGTCCAATTTATTCACTCTTCAATTATACACTGGTCACCCAGGCCCCAACCCCAGTTCAATATCTCTCTCCCTTTAGTTGGGGGTGGGAGGGTAGCCCTCTTTCCCAGAGCTAGGACAGTTCAGTCCCTGCAAGAACTAATCTTGCTAGGTGCAAGTGCTTCAGCCAGCCAGCTACAGTTTCTCAAGCCTCTACTTCCTGAATGTCCCCCTACTCCCTCCCTTACTGCAGCCACCTGCTGCTCTTTATAGGGAATTTCCCGATCCCGCTCAAGTGGGGCTCCTCCTGTAATCAGGGTTGGCTTAGCCCTAGGTTTTCCACATGATAGGGCAAGCCATCCTGTTATAATGGATGTACACTATCAGATTTAGGAACAAGACATTTCTAACATTTAAGAATAGATAAACATAGCATCACTATGTTCTCTCCACAGGGAGTATTGAAACATTTTGTGTGTGTGTGTGTGTGTGTGTGTGTGTGTGTGTGTGTGTGTGTGTGTGTGTGTGTGTGTGTA